TTTATTCGTCCTCCACAATGCATTTCCCCTCACTATGTATACATAAACACGAGAACAGCTTTCCCAAGTAGGAGAACAATGGCAAAATCTTAACAGTTTGTGAGAATATTTTCAGTGCTATGGGAAAGCAAAGATGAATCATCTGCAAGCTCTGATAGGCAGCCTCTCATGTACTTGAGCTAAAACTGTTCCACAGTGTTTCAGATGAGCTTGCCAGCCCTCCAGGTGGATGCCTCTCAGTTTCAGAAGAAAAGGCCCTGAAAACTGAGCTTGTCCAAGTAACCAGCACAAACAGTCCCTTAAACCCCTTTTCCAAAATCCCTCATGAAAGGGAAATGAGTTTGGCAAAGAAATTGGTGTGACGGGAGCTCACAGAATGTTACACGCAGGCTACAGAGCAAACAGGATTTTGAACTTGACAGAAAGGCCACAAGCTGCTAATCATAAAATATGAAATGTACATGCACGAAAAAGTAAAAAGACACAGCTGTACTTGGACGGTAAGTCTCCTGATTTAACCGTATGAAGGTTCGAGCAACTTATGAACTTTAGCAGTCCTAATTATGGCAATGGGACACCGTGAGAGGTTCAGGTTTAACAAGTTCTTGTGTTTATGATCCCAATGAGCACTTAAATAGTAGAATCTGTTGGATTGTGTGTCAGCCAGCCCTGACTTCATACCTGAGGGGAAGGTTGGCTAGATAGAGATAAGACAACAGCATTCCACTGCAACTGCACAGACTAAACCAAAAAGTGGGTCTGAGAACTACCCAAATGACACGGTCACCGAGTAATGTGGCATCAGCACCCGGTGGTTGTCAACATTTATTAAAGGGTTTTTACATTTGCCACCAAACCACACTGGCTTATCTTGCCATGCATGGGTGAAACCCCAGATTGAGATCAGAGCTGGCCAATTCAAATAAAAATGCATTTGATCCAAGAGAGCCTGCATACTTCATGGCCCACTTAACCTGGTTGAATTTACACTTATTGTCAAATGTCAAACAAGCCAAGCATACTTTCCAGGCTCACATGAAGAGGGTGGATGGATAAACTTATTGACTTGTTTTATTACCCTTCCCTGCAGCATTTCATCACGTTGTGTCTTTAAATCAACTTAATAGCAACACAGACACATAAAAATGAAGAATGAGCAAAAAATAAAAAATCAGTGCAAGAACTGTTTATAAGTGAGTAATAACCCAGACATAACAAAAAGCTGCAGTTCACATGAGGAAAAGTTGCTAAGCTAACTGACTGAGGCAAGTCTCCACTCAGAAGACTACTTTCTACTTTCTCAACGAATTTGCCAGCTTATAACACACAAATAAAAACCATCATTCACGAGAGTCACACACTTTCAAACCAGAACAGAGCATCCCACTTCACTCTTTCCCTCACTTAGCTGCAAATTCCAAAGTTTGCTAGCTTAACAAACTTCTTATTTCACCATAAAGCACCACTTACAAGCATCACGGTGAGCGTCTCTGGGTCTCCAACAACACCGGGCAGCTGCTTTAGGTTCGGCTGACCATGCTGAGTTTTCTGTCAGCAATAATTTAAAAAAAACTAAATAAAAAAAAAAAAGACCCAGAACAAGGCAGGAAGAAAATGCGAGCAGCTCACTTCACGTCCTGCTCCAGGCTGCTCCTGCAAACTACAACATTAGCCCAGAGCACTACTGTCCGACAAGACTGCACGCTAATGAGCCTGTGACAACATACACGAGCTGTACCACTTCTAACGCTGGAGAGGGGTGTCCCGGGAAACATTTATGCCACTAAAACTTTCAGTTTAATATCTTTTTAGCATTATTTACCCAAATTAACCTTCCTACATGATTCTTCTTCGGCTTGTGGTGGCAGCGATTAAAATATTAAACGCTAGTACTTTTTTAAAAAATAAAACATGCCACCCCCGCGCTTGTAACTAGTGGTCGAATCCACCCTGCAGTAATGAAAAGTAATCACAGTTTTGAGCTGTGCATATAGACAAGGCACTTTCACAATACACAGTGGTGAAACATGATAACCTACCAACTGTATGCGACTCGCAGACGTACTGAGGGAGTAAAATGGAGATGCATGTTATATATATACACGCAGTCAGTTCACCCCCTTTACAAAATAAGCTCCAGTATAACACAGACTAGTCCTATATAAATACATTTATTACAAACAGATGTTCTTCCAGCAACTAAATACTACCTTTATCATGATCGGCATCAGCATGTTGGGGAAAAAGGTGCACGTATAGTCTCCTGCGCACACTACTAATATCATTTAGGTTCCAAACTTTTTTGAAAACCCAGCCAATTAAATTCTACTATTTCCATTCAAATACTTCTTGCAGGTGTGAAGTGGTATAATTCAGCATTTTACAAAAAAAAACTTTATGTTGTTGTTCATCTTGCAATCAATCGACATGCAGCTTGTCTATAACGACTGTGTTTGTTTGGTTTGTTGCGTGTTTGAACATTATGTGTATAGACAGATAGAGTTATTTATTGATCCCCTAAGGGAAATTGCAATGTTGCGGCAGCAATTTCCCTATCACAAAAAACACACACACACACCTTAAACTGATCTGGCATGAGTTAGTGAGGTAAGAAAACACACTATTTTAAAAACATATAACATGCATAAATGGCCGCTAGATTAAAAAGATAATAGATTTGAAATAAGATAAGACGGAACTCTCACAGTGTAAATTAAAGTCAAGTGTTCCAAGCATACTGTGCATACGGGCATAGTTTCTTATATGTACTCTGATAGTTTCCTTGATTGTGATGGTAAATGATAAGAAAGAAATCAGAAATACTCATAAGAGTTGCTAAACTTATTTCTATATATTTAAACAGTAAAGCAACTGGATTCTACTAGTAAACTCCTACTGTAGTGTAAAAAGACAAGTACATTTTTACAATTCCTGCCCCACAACATCATATACAGTAAGTTAGTTTATTCTGTGAGGGCCGAAGTTAACACACTGGGCCTCAGAAGGGTGGGGAGCTGCGACTCACCCCTGGCAGACACTATTGTTAATCAAGGAGTAACATCTGTTGTGTGCCTCTAATCTCCCCCAGACTGTCAGACTGTCCTCCTCGGTTTTAGACTGTCTGCCTTTTGTGTTAAAGGGCACCCAGGATTTGTCTCCTCCACGATGTAGGCTACAGTGTGGGGGGGTGACAGAGTTGTTTTGAACCAAAGCCCCCGTCAGCAGCAAGCAAATGAATGCAGGATATATGATACAGCAAACTTTGAATTTCATAATCTTAGAAAATCACAGATTTGGGAAGCAGATGATGAAAACAGCTTGTGGGACAGGAGTAGGCGAAGCAACAAGTTTGGCAGCGTGTGTTGTGACGGTCACAGCCATAGGGGGCAGTATCCACCAATCATAGCGCGAGAAAAGCCTTCAAAAGTAACCTGGAGTGTAATAGTTTCCACATGAGTGAGTAATACGCCTTGATGTTGTTGTTTTTAGTCATTTCTCCTTGACTTTGTTAATGTAACTGTAGCTAGCATATGGTTAACAGTAAATAGGAAGTGATCTTCCAGCTCCCAGTGCTGAGACCCCATGCAGAATGCTGTATGCCATCTGTGGCTCACACTGGCTGGGGACAGATGGCTCGAGGACTCCAGTTACAGGAGCCATCCCTTCTCAACTTTAATGAATAATGTTAATCTTCTCCATCACTACCAACATTTTCCAATTACAGCAGATTTAGAAGTTTGTTTTCTTTGGTGATGTGAAAAAAAAAATAAACAGGGTAAAAGCATTTACTTCTGTTCATACTGTGGCACAAATTAGTTCCAAAGTTTCTCATATGTGATATCTTTTTTTAGTTTGTCATTTCTATCGATGGGAACAGATCCTAAATACACAGTCAAGTGTTTAAAAAATGTAGTTTGGCCAAGAGGGTGACACTTGATTAAAAGAAAAACACTGACACCATTTGTCAAAAATGCAGAAGTACATGAGCTTAAAAACCGGCTTTTTCCTGCTTGTTGTTGAAATTACTGTCTGATGTTACTCGGCGGGATACTGTAACTACAGTCGGGACATAAAAAGAGCATATGGCTTTCATGGAACTCCATCTAAATTTCACTGCTTCTCATCTAGCCCACTAATCCTCGCCTATAATGTTTATAGCCAAGTTAATTGAACTGGCACATCTCTGTGGGCTTGGAGATCCCTCCTAAGAGGCTCTGAAGCCACGTTTTTTTTTGCCAAAGTGCGCTCAGACCTCCACCGTATCTGAAAGAGGTGCAGCTGTTCGTCCAGTTACGGTTCACGGGTGACTTTATAAGTGAGTTATTTCGAAAAAGGGGCCACTGCACTCAGTATAGCATTTAAATAATAAACTAATAGATGAGTCTACCATGTACAACGTTATACTGTTGTGGTAAAATTAGTCAGTATTTCTCTATTTTAGATATAAACACAGACTCTGATAGAATAAGATCTTTTAAGTAAAAGAAATAACACACAAGCATAAAAACTAACCCTACAAGTATGAACTGAAAACTCGAAATATTATAAGCAAAATGCTCTGGCGCACTCATAAATATAGCAGTATTATATTACACTAATTGGATTATTGTCATTGACGCATTAACAGCCTTTAAATCCTTCAGTTCTTTCCATTAGAGATAGAGGTGCTTAAATCTTTTACTTAAGCACGCTCCATGATTCAGGTAAAATTCATTGCATCCAACCTCTTCGCAAAACATCAGAATGTTTTAACTGTAACTTTTAAATGATTGCAGCGGGGTAAGAAAGTGCACTCGTTCCTTCTGAAATACATCAAGTCGTGCATATAAGGAATATCTTAGGTCATTACTGACTGTACATTCCATCTCTTTCCACTTGTCATGTTTACCCAAGATGACCAAAGAGATTTCAAAAGCCCTTATTCATTAGTCTGGACCACACACACATTCTCAGAGACACGGAGCACATTATTTTGGAGACAGTAATTGGCCTTCATGGACTACTGTGAGGAACAGATTTATTGTGGAACAGTTGCTCTGGAGTCATTTGGTCTGCTTTGATTCAGTGAAAACAAAGACATTCATTTTACTGCTACAGCAAGTGTAATTTTCTTGAGACATTTTTTTCGAGGACAGAACGTATCATTTGATTCGCAACACTTTTGCGCTTAGTGTCATCAGTCAGCTCAGTCAGGTTCAAGGATAAATACTAATACAGTGTATAACGGACAGTTATATTGTTAGCAGTGCAATAAGCATCTTCAGATTTACCACTTGTAGAAAAGTCATGTAAATATATTACAATCAAGTTGTCTTAAACCATTTTACATATTTTCCCCGGTAAGGGCTCTCACATTGTTATAAAAAACATAGAGGAAAAAAAAAACCCTGATATAAATTTCTGGACCAGCTAATACGGAGCGGTTTGCACAGTTTTTGGAGGTCCCTCTCCTCGAGAATCCGTCCTCTCGTTCTCCATGTACGCCTGCACAGACCTCCACAGCGCCCTGATGTTCCCCTCGCCAAAACCTGTCGCCCCTCTTCGCTCAATCAGCTCCAGGAAGAAGGTGTCCTCTGCAAATATGGGCTTTGTGAACACCTGGAGGAGGTATCTGAAAGCAAAACCACACAAGGAGGAGACTTGTTTCATTATGACACATCACACTTTCAGCCTCAGTTTCCCAAGAATCTCTCATGGAGGGTTTCGTTCATCATACTTTAAAAAGGCTCATTTATGTCCAGCGGTTGCTATCTATAACTGTACTGGAAACAAATCCTCATTTTAATTAAGTTAACAGATGAATAACTGTTTGCAGTGCTTTTGTATATTTATTTCAAAAGTTGTAGAAGCTAATAAAGAAAAGCAGCTTTATATGTGTAAAACTCAGAGGTGCTACACTCCAGCAAAAAGTGTTTTTCTTTTTAGGCAGATAAAACAAATAAGTCTATAAGAAAATGCACCGTTTGGAAGCGATGCAAGTTTAATAGAGGCGTGAGATTGCAGCTCCTGATTGCCTCTCACCTTCTGTTTTCGCTGGATGCCGTCTGCGATAAGGGATCCTGGTGCAGGTCTGTATCCAGGAGAATGCCATGCTGTGCCAGCATCTGGGGACTGTGTCCTGCTTCTTCTATTTCCTGCTGTTTTCCCACCTGTCACAGCAGATGAGATGTGTGAAATAATTGCCAACCGTGGCAGTTTGCAAATAAAGTTAACGTAATACTGTAATATTCCAACATTATGCTGTGCAATATGCTGTTTAGTTACAATGTGTGCTCTTTAGTTTTTGCTAATGGTACTTAAATGTGTGTACATATATGTAGACTAGCATGTGGCTGACAGTTATATATGTATGTATTCTGTATTTAAAACACATGCTTAATGCAATGACACCAGCCCCCAAGAAAACTTTCCCTAAGGGGACAAGGAAGTGTATTGTGAGTGTATTATGACATCAGGCTCTTCATTGTTATTTAACTATAATATACTGTCTTAAGTTTTTAGTAATGACACTTACATGAGTGTAAACATGTCCACTAGTATGTCACTGACTGGTTCATGCCAATGTACTCTGCATGTAAAACACATGCTAAATGCAAAGACTCCAGGACAAGAAAAATGTTCCTAAGGGTACAAGACAGTTTATTGTTCTGTATTAATGTTGTGCTCTTTCTATAAGTTCTACATAGAAAAGCTACAAACTAAAGTCTGTCCCGCCCTGGAATTTCAAAAAGATGACTTTAAAACAGGGGCTATTGCTCGCAGTAACTGAGTAATTAATGGTTTCTTTATTTTGGCTGTGAGTAACTCAAACCTCAGTGTAATAGGCCGGAGGAGGGGAGAAGAACTGTACGCCAGCTTTAGCCATGGTGTGTGCAGTAGAGACTATGTCTTTGGTGTACAGTCCGATGTGCTGGACCCCCGGGGCTTGATGCTGCTCCAAGAAGGTGTCGACCTGGTTGCTGCCTGAGAGAAGCAAAAACACACAGCGATGCAGGAGTTGCCATGGTTTCAATGAAATATTTTCCAGCTGAGCGCGGCTGCTGTTACCTTGATCGGGCAGCGATTCTGCAATGACAAACTTGCAGTCTGGGTCTTTTTTGTCCACAGAGGGAAGAGCGATTCCGGCTTCGCTGCACTTCCAGTACTGCATGGCAGTGAGTCGCAGTCCGATGCCCTCCTGGTTTACGACAAAACCTTCATCAACATCTTCATTACTACTCAGAAAAACAAACAGTCTTGATTATTAACACAATAAAACTCAGTGTTGCTCATAGATGCCTTGATGTGATAACAGCTTCTTACCTGTCAATGAAGAACCTCTGAAAGCCAAAGAGCTTCTCGTACCAGCTCATGACCTGCTGGGTGGTTCCTCTGGGACAGGCGTAGGTTATGTGATCAAAGTGTGTGACAGGGCAAGACACGTCCTCTCCCTCTGAGTCCTTCACAGTGAAATCAAACCCAGGCAAGAAGACTCCCCTGTACTTGGTCTTGTCGATGAGCGTGTGGCACACGTTTCCCACCACGGATTTAACCACCGAGTAGGTGACGGGACCATCCTCATCCTCCACCGTGGTCGGAGGCACCAGGAAGTTGCAGCCCAGATGGCGAAGCACCTTGAATGACCTTTCCACATCCTCCACCTCGAAGCACACGTTGCTCACAGTGTCCACCGGGTGACGAGGGCTCACGTCGTAGAGACACGCGGAGGAGCCACCCGGCGTGCGCTTCCCCGCGTCCACCCGGCGTGGACCGTGTTTGTCCAAAGCGCCCGGCCCTTCATTCAATCCCACACTTCCCTGAGTTGGTCTCTCATTCACGACGAAAACCGCCGCTCCTTTCCTGAAAGCCAGCTGCCGGGACCTGCCGGTGAACCTGGCGGCAAACAAATTAAACTTGAATTTAGAGCTGAGCTCGGCCGCTATTCTCTCAGCGTTGGAGACATGGATGGAAACGTGGTGCAGCCGGCTCAAGAGGGCTGCCATGTTTGTTCAAGTGTCCGGGAGGCGTGTCCTCAAGGAGAAGAACTTCCCACCGACAGAGTAAAGGATGACATAACAACAACAACAAACAACGAAAAAATATCAGCTGGGCGTGTAAATATTGTCTCATGTTGTTAAAATCCCATAAAAAGTTTCGCGATAGTGTATACAAAATTATTTTTAAAATGATAAAAGCTATCTCATTTGCCGTGTCTATCAATTAGTTTGCAATATTTTGCTCTTTAAAAAAAACAAACAAACAAAAAAACATAATATTTTATTTACAAAACAACTTCCCTACCCAAAAACCACAGTGATTCGCGACACGTTTAAAGTTAATAATAAGCTCGGATATGTCACAAAGCCCCATCCGGAATTGAAGTGTTTGTTTTTTTTAACGTGATGATATAAAAATGTTTAGAGCACAGATTGAGCGTAATGTGGTTAAACTTCAGCCAACACAGAAATATATGTAAGTGACAAGGTTAAAAAAAATAACCAGTTTCTGCCTGTTAATATCAAATCTCGCGGTGCTTGTGGTTTTTCCGTTGCGTCCTGAAGGCATCACAGTACTTTCCCCTCGTCCAATCGGATCGCGAGCTGAGCCAGATGATTGTTGACGAAGGCAGGCCAGCGTTTATTTTGGCTCTGCTACTCATTTGTCTCGCTGTCGCCGCCATTAAACAACACGGAGGCAATGTAAACCATGGAGAGTCGCGGATTTGTGCCATGATTTCGAGGCGCTCAGAGGCTTTGTCGCGGTTGGCTTTGTTCGGCGAGAGGTTAATGTGTCCGTGAAGGTAAACATGTGAGAGAGGAGAGGAGTCGAAATAATTCGGATCGGGAAAGGTTTGATTGAGCTGGAGGAGGAGGAGGAGGAGGAGGAGGAAGAGGAGGAGGAGAAGAGGGGGACTGGACAAGAAGGGTTTGTTGTGGTTTTTCAGCTTCACTTGAGAAACAAGAGCACTCACGAAACGGTAAGAATTCAACGTGTTTTCCGCGAAAACATTCCGGCTAGTGACATGTTACGTGACTGTACGCGCTATGAACACGCTCGGTTGAATTTCACGGCAGCTAACGTTGGATATGCTACGAGGCTAGCTTGGCAGCTAGCGAGCTAAAGGCTAAAAAAACTGGAATCTGACTGCACGCTAACGCAATAATGCCACCGGTCATGTGAATTAAATCCCAGCTGTTAGCTACGCTCCATGCTGCTACTGATAATGGGAATCTGGCAGGCGCTTTAAATCACACCAGAAATCACAGTGCTGCCAGGGTGTCATTGAAGATGCCCGGCCAGATGCAAGTTAGTTCACAAACTGCTGGGGAAAACTTAGGCATCAGTAGTTTAACGGGTTTATTTTTTTTCAGTTGACAGATTATTGTTGATGCCTAACATCTAATTGGATTTATCACAACAGGTCGAACAACTGAAGTGAGTCACGATGACGGAACAGAAGGTAAAGTGGGCCTGTGACTACTGCACCTATGAGAACTGGCCATCTTCTATCAAGTGCACTATGTGCCGTGCACAGAGGTTGAGGGGTCCCATCATCACAGAGGAACCTTACAAAAACAGCCCCGATCTGGACGCCAGTGTGGAGTGGGATCCTCCTAGAACTGAAAGTGGAAGCAGCCTCCTCATCTGCCCTGACTCCAGCGCCAGGCCACGAGTCAGGTCGGCTAGTATGGCTGAGCTTGCCAATAAGTGGTCCTGCCAGATGTGCACCTACCTGAACTGGCCTCGCGCCATCCGCTGCACACAGTGCCTGTGTCAGCGCCCGAGGACCAGCAGCCCCACCGAGTCCCCCCAGACCTCAGGCTCCAACGCAGGCTGCCGTCCTGCTGTCCACTCTCCCGTGGACACCTGCGAGGAGTACAATGACAGAAACAGACTCAACACCCACCAGCAGCACTGGACATGTACAGCTTGCACTTACCAGAACTTACCCAGAACTACAAAGTGTGTGGTGTGTGACCTGCCCAAGCCCAACAACCAGGAAGCCATAGAGTTGGCTGAGTCAGCGGAGCCCTCGCCCATGATCAATGAGCAGGACAGGGCTCGGTGGAGGGGCGGCTGCAGCGGGGGTCAGGGTCAGAGGACATCCCCTCCTATGCCCAAGAGGGAGGACCACGTCAAAATGGACTTTCAGAGGATAGACCTCGCAGCTGGAGCCATGAGCAAAGAGGAGCAAGAGGTCGACTTCAAAAAGTTAAAGCAGATTAGAAACCGGATGAGGAAAACAGACTGGCTGTTTCTCAACGCATGTGCTGGTGAGTTTTTGCACATTATTACGTGTCATTCCTGCTAGGATTGAACTGATTAGGCGGTTAGTCAACCCACAGAGAATTAATCAGCAACAATTTTGACAGCTGATTTGGCCACATGTGAGTGAAATGCCAGAAATCTTTCTCCAGCTTTTGTGCACACAGTTTCTGTTTGTATATTATCATAAATTATCTATCTTAAATAACAAAAAGGTGCTGCATTAGTTACTAAATTCTTGTATTACATGCATTCCATAGTAGTGATGACAGATATTTAGTGTATTTATTATGCTTTGATTGTTTGAGAATGCGATCCCTCTGTCCTCATTTCCCTCTGTGACTCACCTGCGTAGTCCTGCTGCTACAGAGAACTCATCCTCTTGTCCCATTTTTCTTTATAACAACAGTTCTATTTTCACACTGCGTTTTTGTTTCATTCCCAGATGTCACACTGAGTGATGACACAGCGGCGTGCTGCAGACAGGGACAACAGTTTGATTGTTTCTGTCCCAGGGGCAAAACATTTCTTTCCGCTTAGTGCTATTTTATTACCGCGCAGATGGTGCATCACTCCACGATGACCAAGGCTGCGTAGTCGTGCGGTCCTCTTTGTGTTTTATTAATGAGTGACAGCATGTCTCATTGTTTGAACTCCAAATATTAGAGTACAGAGGGAATTTTGCTAAATATGGGTACTGCGACTTTTATTATCGCTGCTGTCGAGTGACAACCGTCCACTACAGAGCACGAGTGATGTCGGACGGCAGCATGATAGAGACGTGTAACTTAAAGGTTAATAGGCATTTAATCCAACTCATCACTGAACCACTATCTGGCCTTGCCGGGCCACTGAGAGCATCTTTCAGAAACTGAGAGGGTACGAGTGCTTCCCAGCTGGCGGGGATGAATGGGCCGGCTGGGCAGCGCAGTGAGAGTGGAACCCACGGATCAGAGACTCTCCTGGCTCGCAGTCAACAGACCCTGTAAACAGTGGTGCTTATGTGCTGAGCAGGGGGCCCCCAGGAGGCGAAAATAGCCTTGATTTTAAAAAAAGCAAAAAAAAAGCATGAAGGCAGCACGTGATCGGCGTCCTTGTGACCTTTGCACCGATTGCACTTGCTGGCGTGTTGTTGAGGAGCAGAAAACATTACTCTTAGGTCACAGCAAGGCAGTTTTTTTTCTGAGTCCCATATGCATGTTTAGACATTGCCTTTTGATTATATTCTCTATACTGCCATGTTCTGCCTTTTTATTCATGTCAGCTGACCCGTTTGAGCTCTGTGTTGCATGCGCTCTTCAAACTGTTTGTCAGCGGAGGAAGTGCACGAGTCGAGCAGCACATTAAGGCCAAGCCGAGCACTTCCTCGGGTCTCAGAACTTGATCTCGCTTCACTGTACTGATTGCCCACATTTCTGGTCTGGTGTTTTTTCAGAGCTCCCGTGTTTGAGCCAAAATCCGATGATCCCATTCATTCTGCTTTCCCTCAAAAGGAAGCAGACTCTGTTTTGCTAATATTGTTCTTTTGTTTTGCTGACGGACTGCAAAGTTTGATGTTGCAGCTGATGATGATGTTTGCAGTCTATGGGATTGGCGTGAACGCGTAACACCATGTTTTTTGCCTTTAAGTGCTGGAAACTGTCTCGCTGATCGGCTGGGTTTTTAATCTGACAGGCTAAGAAATGTCAGCTCCTTCAAAACTACAAAATTGATCATATCAATTTGTAGAAATTATGCTCAGAGATATTAATAACTCTTTTTGTAAAGTTGTGCGCGGTGAATTATTCAATCAGGCCAAATAACAAAACAACATTCGTGGTGCAAGAGATGGCGACCTGTGTCAGAATCCAGCAGTTTGTCCTGCTGTAACTCGGTTTAGAAACATATCAGACTGAAGCTTGCTTGTCTCAACATTCTGGTGCAGCGATACTGGGATCAGGAATGCGGTCTTGTTGTAGATCTTGTTGTACACCTTGTTAAACATGAAAATGAAAGGCAGCAATATTTTTGACATGCTAGCTCCACCGGGGCCTCTAGAGGCGTTGCAGAAGTGGCTGCCTTTGATTCAAACACACAACGGGAGATAAAACGACAAACTGTTGCTCCCGATGCCCCGCTTGTGGCTGATCGAGCCACTGTGGGACTATTATTGTATAGACTAATCCCGGCATGAAGGGGTAATTGTAATGTTTGCATCGTTGCCCAATTTAATGCTATTTATTTATACTTTAAATTCCACAACTAGGCTTCATAGTGTGCTGCTATGGCAGTTGATTGATGGGAATTTGACTTAGAAAGGATGCAGAGTAAAACAGCTTTATTTGCATTAAATCTGGGAAATGTTTAGGTGCTTGAATATAAAAATACTGGCAATGAGATTCACATGTCAGTCAAGCAGCTTGTGGACTTCCTGTTTGGGACTTGAATTCTTGGCTTTTCCAAATGTTTAAGGGTTAGTTTTTTTGCTATCCACTGACTGCAAATATCCTTCTTTCCCTTTGCTGTCAGTAATTCTGCCATTTCTTTTTTCCCCCTTTATTACATATGGCAGAGAGAGTTGTGTGCCGCACAAAACCGGTCTTTCGCTGGAATCAGACAGTGGATGTTATCACAATGTCTCCCGTGTTTTGGTGTAAGGTCTTCATTAGGGTGTGTTTTTGCCTGTTTATTTTTTACCCGTCTTGTCGTGCGCATAAACAGCATACTCAAATGTACTTATTGACACTTCATTCTCTACAAGAGCAG